TTTATTGTATTTAGTTTTGATTTGGAGGTAAGTTAGCCAGACAACTTTCATGTTCTGATCTGCCAATTCTTCAATTGTTTTTAAATCTCCCTTTTAAATCTCCCAGAGTTAAGTCTCTGTATCTTAGCATTTTGTTCAAATCTATATAATTTATGTGAGATGTCCTTTCTGTTGGTGATAGCCAATTCAGGATTTTCACATAGTGGATTTTCTTGTATTTTAATTTGATTTTTTTCTCTTTTAAACGTAATATTAATAGTTTATCAAACATTGCAGGCTGGAATGTAGAAAGCTTTTTACCTATTACTGCAGATGGATTGATTGGTACTTTGTAATATTCCTGAACTGCAAGATAAACTATCTTTGCTCTCCAGGTGAGGATAGGATAGTAGTGTGTTGTCTTAAAAGGATGCCTGTAGTTGTCTTCTGATAAGATAGAGAATTATTTAGTGTTGATTGATATCTGTTTTGTTTCTCTGTGGATTCTAAGTTACCTTATGATATTTTTCCTCATTAACATCCTAAATTCTACACCCACAAGTTCCTTGAAGCTAATTTGAATGAAAATGTTTAGGATTATCTGGTGTAAATAGGTACCATGTTTGACTTCATGTAACTGATTTCCTATGTAAAGATGGGGGTGTGTTTGTCCTGTCAACTTTCTTTTTGTATTTTCCTTTGATGTGTTAACTATAAAAGAGAATGCAAGATGATACCTAAGGGTCTCTCTTTGCATGAGAGGATCCACTTTTATCAAAATAAATTCCTGTCCCAGATTGCATAATTGGAGATCTGGCATGCTGAGGCATGAATAAATTTGGGGCAAATTTGGCCATCAGTTCTTACTAAGCAAATATAGCTGATGCTTAAAACTTATGCCTTTTTGAGAAATTTTCTTGAATCAAAACATTGAGGACTTGACAATATGTTTCTCAAAGACAATGCATTATTTTGGGGAGAAACTGAAGGGTGGGATATTAGAAACTGATGGGGCAAATAGAACTCAAATAAAGGCAGAGTTGATTATATAGCAACCAACTCCTTAGTAATAAAATCACTTCATTGAAGGGAGCTCCCCTTCCAGAAAGAAGATACAAACTAATCAAATTGCCCTTCTAATAGGCACAACTGCACTATAACGGGATTTCTTGGATTAACTTCCTAAGCTATTACATTGCAAAAGGAATTCTTAGATATTCATATTACCATATCATTTGGCTCCTAAATAATATCTGCCATGATTTTTATATTAGTAGTTATGTTTCATCAGTTTCATATGCCAAGAAAATGCCTCGAGATATGAAGGTTGGCTAGGTATTAAATATAGAGTTTCTGTCAACTTGTGGGAAACATATCCTAGGCAGCTGGAAAGTACCTTAGCACAGTATCTTCATTTTCAAATTGGGAACCAAACAGAGAATATCCATTGGCCTAAGAAAGGGGTAACTCTTCCAGAAATTCCCTAAATAGGAAGGGGAATTTAGACTTAGAAAAGAACATAGAAGTGTCTTTTAAAATTTACAGGAATTTCAATGCTATAGGAATGACAACTGTTGCCCTAATACAATTGGAGCAAGAGAATTTCTAATCAGTGGGACAGGAAGGAGTTGTTATAATTTCTCTTTCTGAAGAGAAATGATGCCCTCATTGGACTCCTCTGGAGAATTCTATCCATAAGCCTATGTTATCTCTAATGGGAAGAAGAATCCAATATCATTAAGAAGGGAGACTGTTACTTGCCTACTATTTTCACCCAGTCCCCTGGCCCCTGTTTTTAACTCATTTATAAACATGGACCATTCATATTTATGGCATTTATAAATATGGACCATTCATATTTATGGCATTTATAAATATGGACCATTCATAACTGAATTCACAACAGTAAATGCCAATACTGCTCCTTCAGAGTACTATTTCTTGTGTATACCAGTTAGAAGGAAGAGGCCTCCTTGCCTCCCAATATTCAGCAGTAGACACTCTTCCAGGGATGAATGGCAAACTAACATAGCTTTGTGTCTTTGGAGCTGACAAGTGTAATGGAAAGTACAATGGTAAAGGAATCAACTTTCTGAATTCTTTTCCAGAAAAGGACTTTGTATTGCCTAGGGCTCTTTACAGATGCACTCTGGGAAAAGGCCTTAAAGTAGTAATCTACAGCAGGTTTTAGAGTTCTGGGAGCTGGCAGAAACAGCTTTGTCCAAGCCTTTGTCAGAGCCTTTCAGAAGGAGACTGCCCATCTTTCCTCTTAACCACTTTTATTGGAAATTGCTTATAAATCACTTTTTGAATATTAAGAACTTTCAGAAGGACATTTCCTTACACCAGATGGTTTTCTTATAATCCACAATGAAAGAAGATTTATGTAAGTTTAAAGCTTAATAACATTTTAAAATTTGGAAACAAATTGCCAAAGAGTGATTAGAATGTTGATTTTGGAAAGATTTTAAATGGGCTAAGGAGCCAGATTGTTTGGACGCAAAACAGTTATAAACATATTTTTTGTTTGTTTAAAATCCTATTAAAGTACAAGTTCTGAGTTTAAGTCTAAGAAATCACTTCTTGGGAAATATTCTGGATGACAGAAAAAAATGATGAGAGGACACCTTGAAAGATAGTTGTTACAGGCAATGAGAAAGAATTAAACTTTATAATTAAACAATCCTCACTAGTAAGAGAATGGATAAAAATATTTTAACTCTGCAAGAATTCAAAGATATTTGACAAGATACCCAGCACTTACTCTTTAGACTTTCCAATTAATAAAAGTGGACAAAAGAAGAGAGAGAAGATATAACTTGAAAATCAGGCCTTTGGGATATGGTTTTAAAACTACAGAATCTAAAAATGATACTAACAAAGATGTTATATCATATCAACAAATGAAACTGGCTATCATTTCATTAGTTAAAATGTCTGTACAAATAATAAACCGGAAGAATGACATGGATACATGGATTTTAAACTCAGTAATGTGGCCATTTTTTTTTACTTTGGATTTAGAAAGGAGGTGACATACCTATGAAGGAATTCCTGAAAAAAGCAAAAAATAGAAGAAATAAGTTTTTGAGATATTACTTAAAATGAATAAGCAAGACTTTTAAAATTAAAATGAAGGCTTACAAAATGGGCTTATTTGATCACAATTAAATTGTATATGATCCTCTCTTTTCTGAAAGCTTTTAACAGGTTTATCTTGACTAGGATTGACTGGTGAGGCTTTAAAGATTTGTTTATGGGGAAGATATGGGAAAAAGAGAGTTTTATTGTATTTTTAGAGAAAGTGATAAGCTATGATATTATGATCAAGATGAAAAAGATAAGAAATTAATTTGAGGGACAATATTTGAAGGAATTAAAGATTAATATTTTTCATTTTTTTCTAGTAGCGCTTAATGGAATTTTTCTTAATTGATCAATTAATTAATTTGATGAAGTATTTTCCTGATTCATCATGATATCTCTCTCTCTCTCTGAAATAAAAAATAAAGTAAATAAAACACAAACAAAAATCTAGAAGAATATTTTATTTTTGTTAAATGCTCTTCAAAATAATAGAGCAAATATTACTGAATAAAGTATATTCAGAATATTTTAAATTATACTATGTTCATAACTTGAACTTGTTTATTCATTGCATCTTATTCTAAAATTAAGGCTTTAGTATAAATTTCCAAAATAGAAAATCATATAAAACTTTTATCAAGCAAAAAACTCCACTTTTAATACTTGATAATGTGCAAAGTGTTAAGTGTCATTTTGTAAATTTCAATAAGTTCTTTAAAGTAAAGTATATTATTCCCAAGTTTCAAACATGAAGCAAAGTTGTACAACTGGAAATTTATTTAGATCTAATGATGTCTTCTTGAGATCCTTGCAGCTCCTGTTTTATGTTGCTTGTTTTATTTTCTGATTCACTATTACACTGTTTTGACTTCTCCGAAAGAACAATAACCGTATCATAGTTATGATCCTCTCCCTGTGACTGGGAGTCAAGAAATTGTGAACTATCATAAGGATGGCTTAAAAACTGTGGATGAAGACAAAGAAACAGATTAGAAATAGCCATCTTCTTTTGACAAATATTTTAAATCAGAATGCCACCCCCCAATCCCACCCCAGAGGACTCAGTCAGTTAGATTCCAATAATTTCATATTTTAAAAAACAACTTAAAATTAAAAATTACTCACCAGACATTCATTGAACAACCACCCTCTTTTGCTATATGTCAGCATACTTGCAAAAAATATCAAATTGCATTATCATGAATCTTGCCAAGCAAGGCAAATGCATGATAGTTGCTCATCCTCAGTGCAATCGTTCTGAGTTCTACTTTCTCACTGAGCCTCAAATGCATCTTCCTGTTTTTTACTCTGGAGCAGTGTTTCTCAACCTTGGCAACTTGAAGATGTCTGGACTTCAACTCCCAGAATTCCCCAGCCAGCGAATGCTGGCTGGGGAATTCTGGGAGTTGAAGTCCGGACATCTTCAAGTTGCCTAGGTTGAGAAACACTGCTCTGGAGGATCCCTTGAGATAATTCTAAGATCACAAGGAACCCTGCATTGTAAAAAATATGAAGACTTTGCAACACAATTCACTTCTAACCTATATAATCCACATTTTACATTTACAATGACAGTGAAGTGGTAGTTCTGAAGCTGAAACAGGGTATGTAAAAATTCCCATAACTGAAAATGCTAGCACTGGCAATTTATGAAATTAAAAAATAATGTTCATTTTTTCCCAACACAATCTCTCAAGGAATCTCTAGGGATCATTCAGTTGAGAAAGACTGCACTAATGGATAATATTATGCAAGAAGTTGAAATCAGGAAGTCTATTTGTGCATCTCTGTTTTGAGCTTTACTTCTCAGTAGAAAGAAAAGCAAGCACACTCTTCATTGACTGGCAAAAATCAGCTATTTTTTCAGATCGCAAAAACTCCTGCAGAACCTTATATGATAAAACCCTTCAAATATCATAAACAATCTCAAATGAAGATTTGTGAGAAACCTTGGCTGACAACACAATAATAAGAATTTTTATTTTAAAAAATGCAATTAACACCCACAGTTTTAGCTGTTCTAGAAGGTTCCCCTCTAACCCAAAAGATTCAGCTACATCTGTTCCAGTAATATTACAGTGTTCTTGGGTGCATTCTATAGCTCTCTAGAGCAGCACACAAATTTTAAGATGTGTAATTTCAGCTCTCAGGATATCTCAGTCAACATAGCTAAATTCTTAAAAAGCATGTCTGGCTGGGAATTCTGGAAAATGAAGTTCACACAAGTTAATGTTGCCAAGTTTGAGAAACACTGTTGTCTACATCTTGGATCATGAAAGCAGAGTTGTATACTCAAGGTTTGTTAACTATGATACTTCAGAACAACATTCATGGGCCATTCTGCTTCAGTACACATCACATTCTGTTTGGTAAATTATAACAATTATTTTTACACAGGCATACACACAGAGACACAGACACACAGTGAGGAATATACAAACCTGAATGAAATGTTGTGGCAAAGAATATGAAGGGTAAAAGCAACGTTTGATCCTAAAATAAATTATACAGCAGAAAAAAATGAATGCCAATACTGTTAGGAAAATAACCAACAATATTACTGAATCTGTCCCTGCAAGGAAGAAAAAACAAAATTGTTTTATTTATTTATTGTGGAACACATGATGCATATATCTTAAAATCTAATATATTTAGTTTCATAATTATAACTGTGACAGCATTATACTTAATGTTAGCTGCAGAGAAGAAACAACAGCAGATTGTATGCTAGCTTTGCCCTATTGCAAAACCCAATATTTAAATATTTATTTATTGTTGCAATTTAGGTTTCAAAATTCAATCCATAGAACACTCGAGACAGCTAAAGGTTTCAAAAGGATACTTGCAATGGGCTATATCTTATTTATTTGATTAGTTTATATGGTAGACCACTCAATTAATAACTAGGGGCACTAACAAGATTTAAATGAAATAACTGAAAAAGACAATAAAGTAATAAAATATACTGCACCAGGGACAAAATGCAGAGCTTATATTGCATTCAGCTTATATATCATTCTGGCCCAGTGTCAACCAGAAGAATCAGATCTTTAGAGCCTTCTTGAAGACTGGTGGGGTTGGGGCTCTTACCTATTATATAATTACTATTAATTGTTTGGGTACAAGTGGCTTCACTCCACTCTCCAGTTTTATTGTATTCTTCAATAAATACTTGAGCCTTAAGACAATATGTTATTCCAGGATTTAGGCCAGATATTACATGGAAAGGATGTGGTGTAGTCACGTTGTTAACCTAATTGGAAAGAAACAGAAAATCACAATATAATCAAGTCATAGAAGTTTTATTTTCAATTGACAATCTCCAACCATTTCTACTGCTAGAGTTCACAACAGCCTTTCCTAACCCAGATATATGTCTAAATCAAATTCTACTTTCTCAACAATGGCCATTTTGGTTAGGGAATTCTGCATCTTGGACTCTACACATCTGAAGGGTGCCAGGTTAGAAATCTTGTTCCAAAATATGTCAACTCATGTTAATATAGTAGCCCTGTAGTCACAATGATGTAACATTGAAAAAACATGCTACAACACTACCATGTCATTCTTGTAGCCCGTTACTTTAAAATCCACTTTCTTGTCTTGTCAGGTAGAGCTTGATTTTTTTAAACACACTGTATAGTGGGAGACACTATTAAAATTAATATCTAAGTCCATTGTTCAAAAATATCCAATGTTTTGCCCAGTTTTATGTTTCAATCTATACATTGCGTTTGAATGTCCTTTAACTTTAGTTGCATCTTTAGTTCCTTCTATTGCCTTTAAATGTCCCATTTTCCAAGTCTTACCTTATTTAAAACAAAATAAAATAAAAGCATTTTCCTACAGGAAGGATTTTTTTATAATTAATTCTAAATTTTTATTTCGAATTTATCTGGACTTTTAGTCTATTTGTAAATTTCTACAATCAAAATTTTAATCACTCTTTTGCTGTTTATTAAAAAAAATCAGTGTTTTTCTCTATTTATTGTACATTGAAAGGTATATTTAAGCATCAAAGAAGCTCACTTTCACATGTCAACAAATATTACCTGTTCACTAGTATTCATCCAAATTTTCATCTTGTAACCAATCGAACCATAAAAATCCTTCAAGGAATATCTGATACCACTAAGTATAACAGGAGGGCTTTGGAGATAAACATCCAAGACTCCAGGTTTTGTGGGTATAATTTGTACAATTGGAGGTATAATGATTGCTAAATGAGTTGAAGGAAACAAAAGAAGATACTTATTTTTACTCTTTCTACAATCCACTTAAATATAAATGATATATAACCATTTTCTTTCCTATTTATTCATTTAAAAATTTAAAATGTAGTTGTATATTTTAGATACCTACCTAGCAACAATTACTCAACAAATTAATATTCTTGTGCTGTTCCTTACATTTTACACCCTATTCCTTACATTTTACACCCTACCTGCTCTTTTTGATCTCTGTTTCTTTTTCCTAAAGATGCTAAGCAACAGCCCTGAATGTTGAGTTTTACTGGTCTGAACCATTATTCAGGAGAATGTTTTGTGGCTCTCCTGTTTGTTACTGGCTTTTGCTATATATGTGAAGGAAAGGGTATTTAAAAAGTGTAAACATGATTATAAGACTTAGCTCCCTGTGATCATAGCAGACCTCAAATGCAATTATTAATACTAACTTTAGAAAAATAATCAGTAAATAGCTATCAAACCAAATCCATCATCTCTCATGGCTTCTCAAAACACAGTGAAAAAAATGCATTGAAAGAATTTGTGCCTATTACCTCAAAATAATATATGACCACAAAATATTGTCAAGGAATAGAAGCAAATAAGAAATTTCCTTTGCAACATGTATGCATGAACTTAAAAATCAAATGGCTAAAGTAGGATTTGCTTAGGAAATAGGCTTCTACAGAGGTTTCTTTTTTAAAAAAAAATCATGTGACCACTTTGTCTCATTCACTAAGATTATGGAGAGCTGGATAGTCTTATTTTCACTGCTTTTTCCAATTTTTTATTATTAGAAAAAGATTTAAATTTTAAAAGTGATAAAAATACCAGCAGTGAATTTGATCCCAGTTCAAGTCAGTTAAACTCTTAAAAAATCTATTAGGTTTGTTTTCTCGGGTTTTAATATCTTCCAAAAAGCTTTGAAATCCTGCCATTGAACTTTTAAACGGATGAACCCCAGACAAGAGACATTTGCTATAAGAATTAGGTTAACAGAAACAGCAGATTCAGAATTATAGAATTCAGTCTAAAGATGTTTACAGAGACAATATTACTGCTAATAACCATATTGCATGCTCTGTTTCCCCTAGCGGGGTGAACTGCCATGTTTGAGAACAAAATTCTTGCAGCATTGTACATGTAGTTCCTCCCATGCCCCTGGGGAGGTCACAGGCACATAGTGAAATGGGGGGAGGGAACCTACCCTAAACTCCCTGAGAGCACTAACAAGCTGGCAGGTAAGCTTTGGGAGATAAAATATTTGAGAACATGAATTGGAAGTTAGAGAAATGATCAGTTTCGTTGGAAGATAGCGAAGTCCACATTTTGGACAGAGAGGATGGCTAGTATGAAAGAGGGGTCAAAACTGAACAGCTCTCTTTCAGAGAGGGAGGGATACGACACCATGTATCTCCAGTCTACAATGCAGTCCTTTCAGCAGTTCCAAAAAGGCTCCACATCCATTTGCACTACTCATGTGATCCAGACCAGACCTCCAGATGGCCTTAATGACTCTCTAAAAGAATGCAGATGATCAGCTATCTGCCAGGAGTATAAATCCTTCCATTCTTCACCGTCCAGCCAGAGCTGAAGAAGCTTCTTCGATGAGAAGCGAAAAGTCTTCAAAGAAAAACCAGATAGTCCAGTTGCCTCTTGAAAAAGCACCCGTGGACATCTGAGAAAAAGCAACAACAACAAAAAGGAACTAAAGCAATACTTGAAAAGTCAATCTTGGTGATTCAGGTTGGTGCCCAGGTTATGGATGAGCAAAAGTTTGGATTAAAAAAACGAACAAACATTCTCCCCCCACCACCTTAGTTATGTCTTTTTGCAGTTCCAGAAGTGAAGAAAGGAGAATTGCATTCCAAAGCCAGTAATTAAGATAAGTGATTGTGAGAAAAGGCAAAAGTCACCTGCAAGCAAGAAACATCTAACAAATTTTTAGATAAGTTTGTACCAGTCACTGTTGTTCAGATTTTCTTTAGGTATTCACTTTTGCATTATAACTCACTTAGATACCCAAAACTGTACCACAACTCGAATGAAGTCTTGATTTCTTGAAACCAAGGGTTTTTTATATATTTGCAAGTAAAGACTTTTGAGAAGTCTTTGATATTAACACAGAACTGTCACTAAAAATAAAATCAAGAAGGAACTGTTTTCCCATTTATATTTGAAGTCATCTTTAAAACCTGCCTTTGTTTTAATGGTAAACTTGATGAAATGATAATAGCAGGTTGAGTAGTCAATAGTAAAATAAAAAAAACATGACTTCCAGGATTGTGGTAAATATTGTTATGGTTCCCACAATTTGTTAAAGTCTTTAAATTTCCCGAGTACAATGCTTGGAACAGGCAGTAATGTAAGATCTGAATATTGCAATAATTCAGCATACCTATTACCAGGTGTATCTTGCAGTATGTAATTTTAAAAAGTTAACATAACAACATAATTAAAGATTGCAACATTGAACACAATGTTACAACATCATCTTTAGTTTTTCAAGCCTGCCCTGCAGATATCTGGCCATTATTGAAATCCTCCTTCCTCTCACATCTGTGCTCTGTTGAAAATAGATAGAAAGGGTAAGAACAGCTAGCTTTTAAAGCATTTTTGCAGCTGACCTGAGATCTGGTAGGTAACTTTATGAGAGAACTCTTAATTTTTTTCTTAATGCTAGCCTTGCTAATTCTCTCCAAAAGCAGTTAACTTGATCCAGTTGCTCCAGAAAGAAGCTGTTAAGTCATTTTTATACAATTTGTTTCTATAGGAAACACTGCCCCATGAAGCAAGAAAAATGATTTTAATCGAGAACATAAAGTGATATAAGAGATTAGTTTCATTTTCATTCTTACTAAGAAATAAGAAAGACCAATGTTTTATTACTAAAGAAAAATATTCAAATTTCTCAGGACAAATATGCAGAAGTAAATTGCAAGAAAGGAAACAGCTTCTGTGAAATATTAATATTATTATTTCCTAATTTTAACTTTTTCTGGGGAGGATGGATGCAGAGGTTTTAAACCTTTCATTCTTGAACTTTGTTAAAGCTATTCATTAGTCCATTAAGAGGGTGGATGAATTTTATTAATGTTGATAATGTTCTATTAAAAATATCAGTGGCAAGTTATCACCATACTTTACTAGAACAATAAAGTTCGTCAAGATTCAAACCTGACATTTTTTAAAAAAATAGTATCCTCTCATCATGACAGTGGTAAAAATAGTTCGGTTCTATAATACTTCAAAGCCATATACATTATAATAGGGAATTAGAAGAATGACTTACTGTCCATGAACGGTGTGAAGTTAAGATATATCCAATGTGATTGTTTATTCTCAAATTCAGCTCTAATTCTTAAATTAGAAAGACCGTATTTAGGTGTATTTGAAATATTGCACTCTGTAAAGTATATTCTTCGGCACAAGTCAGTGAAGTTTGACTTCATACTACTTTTAAAAAAGGAAAGAAAATTAATTATGAGAATAAACAGTTTTATTTCATATGCTGAACAATAATATTCATTTCAGATTTCTCTTATATGAACAGAAACATATTATACTGATTAGAATAAATATTTTTATGCCTGTCTATTAAGAAGTCCAGTTCTTTTTATTCAGGATGAATTTTAGATAAAAATAAGGGCTGAACGTTAGCCATTTAATTTGACAGCTCATTTGTGATGTAGTATATTATTTCCTTTATATTATTTTTAATTGAAGCAAACAACATTATCAAATAAAGATGAAAATGAATAAAAAAGAAAAGGACAAAGTTAAAAGTGAACCACACACACATCCCAATAAAAACATGTTTAAAAGTTAAAATGTAATTTACAGAATTCACAACATTAAAGATTTCTACCTTCAGATAAATTTGTACAAATGAATATAATATTCTAGAAAAAGATTGTTAATATCTATAAACGATGAAGAGATTTCAATGAAGTTATTCTTAACTGTAAAGTTCCTCAAAATCTTTCTATTCTGAATGTACCTCTTCGATGATGGGATGTACACTGTATGCACAATTATTTGCAAGTGAGTATTTTGACTATATCATCATTTTTATTCATATTTTCCACCTCAAAGCTGTATAAACTTGAATGATTAGTGGATATAAGTATATTAGGTGATGTGTATTTGTGTAATGAGGGAAGGTGTGGCTTAAGAAGATCAACACCCTATACCAGTGTTGGCAAACCTTTTCAGCAATGAGTGCTGAAACGGGAGCGTGTATGCACGCACCTGCTGGAAACCAGAAGTGCGTGCGAAGACCAGCTGGCCGATGCACATGCACGCACCGGAAACCAGAAGATCATCTTCCTAGTGCATAGATGCGTACCAGGCAGCTGCTCTTCCGGTTTCCAGGGCTCCCACACATATGAAGACCAGCCGGCTAGCATGCGAGAACCCAGAAGAACAATGGGCAATGGCTAGTGTGTCCGTAGAGATGGCTCTGCATGCCACTTCTAGTGTGCGTGCCATAGGTTCACCATCACGGCTCTATATCAAGGTGTGCATAATTATTAGGCAGCTTCTTTTCAGCTCCTCAGACAAAATGGGCCAAAAAGGAGATTTAACTGACTTTGAGAAATCAAAATTGTAAAAAGTTTTCTGAGAAATACAGCACTCTTGAAATTGCTAAGATATTGGGGCATGATCACAGAACCATCAAATGTTTTGTTGCAAATAGTCAACAGGTCCACAATAAATGTGTTGAGAAAAAAAGTTGCACATTAACTGCCAAGGATTTGAGAAGAATCAAATGTGAAGTTACCAGGAATCTATTATTAGTGCTGGCATATTCCAGAACTGCAACCTACCTGGAATGCCCACAAGTACAAGGTGTTCATGCTTAGTGACATGGCCAAAGTAAAGAAGGCTGAAACCTGACCACTACTAAATAAGACACATAAGCTGAAACAGCAAGACAGGGCCAAGAAATGTCTGAAGGTGGATTTTTCAAAGTTTTCATGGACTAATGAGATGAGAGAGACTCTTGATGGACCAGATGGATGGGCCTGTGGCTGGATTAGTAACGGGTACAGATCTGCACTTTGACTCAGACTCCAGCAAAATGGTATGATATGGGCTGGTATTAGAGATGAGCTCTTTGGACCTTTTCTGGTTGAAGATGGGATCAAAATCAACTCCCAAACCTACTGCCAAATTTTAGAAGACATTTTCTTTAAGCAGTGGTACAGGAAAAAATCTGCATCTTTCAAGAAGACCATGATTTTTATGCAAGACAATGCTCCACTGCATGCATCAAAGTACTCCACTACGTGCTTAGTCAATAAAGATGAAATAATAATGACATGGCCCCCCTTCTTCACCTGACCTAAATCCTATTGAGAACATGTGGGCCCTTCTTAAACAGGAGATTTATGGTAAAGGAAAACAGTATATCTCTCTCAACCATGATTGGGGAGGGTTGTGGTTGCTGCTGCACAAAAAGTTGATCACACGCAGATCAAGAAACTGACAGACTACATGAATGGAAGGATTGTGGCTGTTATTGAAAAGAAGGGCAGCTATATTGATCACTGATTTTTTTTGTTTTGAAATGTTAGAAATGTTTGTTTATACATTTTCAGTTGTTTGTTTATTATTCCCACTTTAACAGATGCAAATAAATGAGTGAGATGGGCAAATTTTCATTTTTCATTTAGTTGCATAATAATTCTGCACAGTAATAGTTGCCGAATAATTGTGCACACATAGCTATTCTCCTAAGAGAGCAAAACCTACATTTTTATTTTCTTAAATATTCAGGTTTGAGGTTTATTAACATTAGGGAATGACCAAGAGAACCGTAATTGTTCAATAATACAATTAATCCTCCAAAATACAACTTACCTAAGTAATTGTGAACGAAGTGTATATTGCATTGCAAAGTAGTCTCTATATTAGAGAGCCTAGCTTGCATAGAATATTATGGACACGCTTTGAATAAATACTGGCCAAATCTGCAAACCTGATTATTCTTTCCTTATCATTAACCTAACCTTCTCTCTCTCTTTTTTTTTTAATAAGGCAAATGCTACAATAAATCTAAATGAAGGTGACTTGGCATTATGGAGTACAGCTGATAAATAATTGCATGGTGAGAGGTTTGGAATGTGGGACAGATTATTTTTGATAGTATCAGAAATGGATCTGTGGGAAAATGGACTTGAAAACGAAGGAAAGAAGTGAAAGAGTGAAACTTGAATGCAGGTAGTCCTCGACTTATGACCATAATGGGGCCCAATATTTCTGTTGCTAAGGGAGGCATTTGTTAATTGAATTTTGCCCCATTTTATGACTTTTCTTGCCATAGTTGTTAAGTGAATCACTGTAGTTGATAAGTTAGTAATACAGCTTTTGGTGTATTACTAACAGTGGAGACTCTGGTTGCTGCCTAGAACTCGGCGGCATCGGAGTCTCTTGACCGGATTGTGCCACTACGGCCGCTCCGAGGTGGTGGATTCCGGAGGCCTCCTTGGTTCACCGAGGAGCTCCGGGAGAGGAAGCGCCGGAGGAGACGCCTAGAGCACCTATGGAGGTCCAATAAATCCGAATCGAACCGAGCACTCTTAACATCTTGCACCAAGGAGTACATCAGGGCAATTAGGACAACAAAAAGATCATACATTGCCACCTTGATTGCGTCCGCTGAGTCGCGCCCAGCCGCCCTGTTTAGGATAACCCACTCCCTCCTAAACAGGAGGGATACGGGGGACCCCTTGCAGGGTAGAGCTGAGGACTATGTCCAGTTCTTAGCGGACAAAGTTGCTCGGTTTCGATCGGATTTGGACTCCGACTTTGCAGATCCAGCTGAGGCACAGGAGGATAATCTGGCAGACCATCGCTGGGTTGAGTTTCAGGATGTTGCCCCTGGGGATGTGGACAAGGCCATGAGTGCTGTGAGTGCCTCCACTTGTGTACTGGACCCGTGCCCCTCCTGGCTGGTTGCCAACAGCAAAGAGGTGACACGGGGCTGGATCCAGGCGGTTGTTACCGCCTA